GTGTATATAGTGATGGCTTCACGACTAACTATATTTCTTAATCGCAATAAAGTAATCTCACGTAATCGGTTTTCATGAACGGCGATTTTGTTATGCAAATGAACCAGAACGCTCTACTATGTCTTGAATACGTGCACACAAATTACGATCACTACGTTAGAAGATGTGAAATGGATACATGAAATAAACAGGATATCGAACTCGTGTAGTGAATTACTTCACTCGTTTAATGAATCTAATGCTTTAGGGCCCGTCCTGATTCTTGTCATGTCATTTGCGACTTGGAAGTTTACATAAGGCGCAGCCTTGGATTGCATTGTCGTGTTTTGTTTTTGAATCACGTTCGGTTTCCACAGTTTAACATTTCATTATCTCGTTTATAAGACCTTTTGGGCCTTTTAAAATGGTAAGTCTTTTTTTTAATCAAAACTAGGGATTGGCTTTTTGATGAAATTCGTATTCGTATTCTATTGAAATCCGCTGGAAAATAACATTCACCGAAATTAGTAGGCGAAACATTGGAAAACATTCATTGTTTTTGTGCAATTATTTCTCTTATCAGTTAAGCTCACTTGCTTCAGTTCAGCTCAATTAAAAAAATGTATTGTGTTGACCATTACCAAAAAAATGAAAAAAAAATCGCGCGTAAACACTGTCGCTAAGAGCAAAAACACAAATATTAACATAAAACCTTATTGAATTTCTCCAAAATATGAGTACTATTGTCAATGAGTACAGCACGGTGTATTGCCAGCGTCACAAAAGACTAATGATGTGGAGAGGCACCCAGTGTGACATTCTGGAGACGTCTCAAAAAGCAGTGTATACACGACTTAGTTCTAAAAATATGCCGATAGCGAGGTGTGTACCTTGGTAGATGGCACGCGGTGAACACTGAATATTTCATTATTGACGTGTCAAAAATGTCTAGTGGTTATTTTGTATGTATGAGGTAATGTAGAGATATTGTCCTTTTTTGACAGTATGATTTTCCACTTATGTATTCATGCCATGCAATCAACCATGCAGGAATTCTTGCACACGGCACGGCCTTATACTGTTAACGTTACACATAAAATATGTTTCGTGGCAAAAACACGAGTATACTCTTGTAAACTCGAAACATTCATCTATAACGTATTGAAAGGGATTGCAATGTGCCTTCAGTCATGGTGCCGGCATTTGGATAAGTAGGTTCAACATATATTCATTAAAATGCTAATGAAATGCAAAAGTGTCCTCAATATGATATACAATACAATAGCTGTAGTTTGATAAATTCTAATACTAATGAGCAATAAAAATCGTGTACGGAACACGCTGTTACAAAAAAATGCTAATTCGATAGAACAACAAAAAACGTAATGCCTTTGTTAAGGAAATACATGTTATATTAACCAGTTTGAATTTAAGCATGCGGTAGAACGTAAAAAAAGCTAATTCGATATCACAAACTCGAACATATTGCCTTCGTTATAAGAAATACATATATTAACCAGTTGGCATTTAGTATGTGGTAGAATGTTAAAAAAAACACGCTATAGGAACAATCATGTATGTATTTTGAAATGTTTGACCCGAGTGAACAATTTGATACAGTTGTCAGTGATATCATTTGCTCTCTGAATAACCCTACACGTATCCAGGTCACCGGATCATTATTGGAATGAACTGCATGCACTGTCACGGAAAATAAGGTCTAAATTGAATATGAAGCAAGGCTCGCCCAGTTATTTAATTGATTGCAATATAGAATACGTTACTAAGCAAAATGTATGTATTTGTTGTTAAGTATCGTACTTAAAAGCACATTTTAACAAATTTCGGCCACCATACCACTGATGGTTTAAACACGATATTGCTGAATTAATAAGATGTATGTATTTCCTTTGGTTGTAGCATTGGAGTTTGGTTAGTATAATTCCAATGGAGGGGATAGGCGGAAGCACCGCGTGGCAAAGCAATGTAATGATGATCGATTTCCGCATACTCGTGCAATAGCGTAAACCTGCTGCCCGTTATTGTTTGATATTGAAATGAACTGCATACACTGTCTATAATATATTCATACCTCAAATTGCCGGAAAAAAAAATGAAAAATAGAAGGAAATCGACGGTGAGGTTAGCGCGTCGGAACTCGACGACGCTCACAAAAGCGGCATGTGAAAACAAGCTCTTAGGTTATTTAGAAGAAGAATATGAACAGGATTTCTGAATCTGAACGAATCACAATGGGTTTGTCAAACGTGGTCAGACATTGGATATCACTGATTTACGCGAAATGTTGTTCGTGTGTTCGTACATTATTCGTAAGCACTGCCCAGATAAATGGGAAAAAGCAGGTGGTACTATTCGACTGATGGGAACGCACCGTTTTAGCGCACATCATTATAATATGTAAGGCAACTTGAAGTACAGTATTATGATGGGTCCATGCACGCATGCAATTGGATCTTTAACATTCTGGCTAACAATCTCAAACCACGCCAATATATCAGTGTGCTCATGATTTTACATTTAATTTCTTGAACAACTTTATGCGTTTATAGTTATGTTTATTCTAATATTTTTGGTAGTGTCATATATTACTTAAAAAAGGGTTTGTGTTTTACACCGCTATATAAATGAGGCACCATTCCAATCTAAACTTGTACGCTCACTTAGTCGAGTTCCTATAATAGTTGCAATATCTCACGGATATATACCATCGTTTTAATACACAATTCGATTTCACAGCACAAAATGCGTCCCGAAACATTTAATATTTTAATCTCTCCAAAGATACACATACTGTCAGTAAACGGGCTTTCTGGAACGACGATTCATCATGCAAATTAGAAAAAAAAACGCTTCCTGAAGTCTTGAATACGTGCACACAAATTACGATTCCGATTTAATATAATATTTAGCGAGGAACAAATACAAAATGAATTTGATATATAATTTGCCGAGTGTGTTGTATATTTCTTGTTTCTCGCTCTTTACAAATTACAAAAATACTAAGAAAAATAATTTTCGATGCATCTCACATTGTATATGTACTCAATAACGATTGAAACAACCTTTCCCATAAGACCATAATAACTAGTATGGATACGATAGAGTATAACCTGCCCTCAGCTATATTTTGTGTTTGTTTATATTTTTAAATTGTAGACTTCAACATATACGGTGACGGAACAGTTAGGTTATGGAAGTATGAGTATGATCAGGTATCATATATTGTGATTTATATTCATTTTATTATTTTTTTACATTTACATTTTGAGCGAGCTTAACACGAAATTATAAAAGACCCGTCGCCATTGTTTTTATTAGGACAATAATTGAGAGAATCAAATCGGCGTCACATCCAACGAGGAACTGAGATATAAAGTGGCGTACAAATCTATTTACTTAGCCTTATAGCTAATAACCATTAACATCGTAAGTGTATTTGAGCTCATCGCGTCGGATCATACTCACTCGCAGATGACGTGTGATTCAAGCATAAAAAGGCGAGTTGAATACCAATGAGAAATGAGCTAGCCGATGAGAAACATTATATTCCAAAAGCAATTACCATAATTGCGAAAAGATTGAAAATAATCCAATTCGGTGACCGTATTAGACGCACTAGCATGGCACCTTTTTATTTCATTTGAAATTATTGAAGTGTTTTCCCCTCGGCAAAAAAGCAAAACACAAATCCCATCAACTCATGCTAGCGCAAAAAAAAATGCCTTGGACAATATTTCATATCAACACCCCGTTCATACGATGCTCAAATAAGAGCAAACTCTACTACTTCATGTAAAAATATATGTCACCTTATTAAACAAAATCTGGTTACTAAATGAAAAGTGTTGAGTTATATTATATGGGCAATCGTGGCAACGTGTAAGCGAGAATATACTGAAATAGTCGGGGTATCTTGTTTATATAATTCGATACGTTATTAGTGTAGCCATATAGGCGATGTTACTGGCACGTCGATAACGCAATATGATGCAACCCCATGACATAATGATTGATCTATTAAGTAAAGACTGCAAGACGCTCATAGCCCATCATATGTATTGACTGAGACGCCATCAATATCAATCGATTCGAATGTTAACTATCAGTGTAGGTCGCAATGAGTAAGAATATAATTTAGTACAGTCCAAGACAGGCAGCCAGTCAGTCAATAATGCACAAGTGATTTGAATTCCGTAGCGGCCTTGAGATATCGAGATGCCATTCCTTAATTACGTGAATCAGGGGCGCAACATGCAATTTAACATAAGAAATAAAAAGAAATGAGATTAAGATATCTTATGCGTTCAAAGTCGTTAGATGTGCCTGTCTCCGAGTTATGATATGGAATTGATGTTTTACTGACTATTATGGGTTCGTGGTTGGTCGCGTGGTTATCGCAGTTGATAAAATGGATTTAGACGCAGAAACCTGGTCTCTATGAAGTATATTTATTTAAAAAACAATCAAGTTTAAGAAACACATATAGAAATCTGCAATTTTATCATGGAGATATAATCGAGTCATTCTTTGTATGCATCAATGCTTGTAATATATTGGGAGTTACCAAATATGATATAATATAACTTTAAGGCTGTAATAGTCCATGAAACGAAACACCTATACGTCATGTAAATTTCTGTGTAACATGCATATACCGTATCCATACATTTTGTGGCAGATGAGTGAGTTTCAATATAAATGGTAAAATTAACATACGTGTGTTATTGTCTAGAAACCAAGTTTTGTAATGAACGAATATGTAATTGGAAAATCGTAAAATGTCCATAGATGTCTATACCTGCAGCTATTATCTTAAACGTCATTTTAATTGGGCATTTTTGTAATTTCAAGGTTGACACTTAATAAAGATTTGTTTTCTCAACTATTCAGGAAATACTGCTCGAGATACTGTTTTAATTAATGCATGCCCCACTCTCTCTCAGATTGGAGTTTGATAACTCCAAACTTTCGAACAAAGTATATCTTTCAATCACACCAATCTATGCATCAGAGAAACGGACACGTATCTGTGGCGTTTTCTGCTTCAATCGTCCGCATATATTGTATACAGTATCGCCGTTAGCCTCGGCGACATCGTTATCCAACAAGGTGGTGGTCGTTACATTACTTCCGTTGCTCGGCTTATTTATAACAGACGATGACGGGTTGGTTTCCTTCTCGTCCGTTATTGGAACAGAACTGGCCATCAGTTCCCTGTCCATCATCTCGCTATTCTCAAGAAAAAGCTGTGAGGGAATATGAGAAAGAGTTGCCCCTGAAGTCCGCCACTCGTCCGTGTAGGCGGCGCTTTGCCTGTTCATCATGATTGAGTCCTTCCTCGGTTTGGGAAGTAGACAAGGGCACTTGTATCCACATATCAAATAAACAAGATCTCGGCGAATACTTCGATGCATATATCCGTAAATGCAAGGATGGGCACAGCATTGATAAAAAAGTAAAATCAATGTTATGGTGTGAACAAGCGTTGGCCGGTCTCCAAGCCATTTCTGGCTTGCTTCGAGGAGATTGACCACAGTATAAGGCCCGATACTCGTTGCAAATGATCCCATTACAATAAAGACCACCTTTGCTGCTTTCATGTCTCTCTTATACCGTCTTTTGCTCCGTCGTTTAAAAAAGGGTTTTTGTGGATTTGTTTTAATCTCTTGATTTTTCCTGGGTACATCTAAATCTGGCAATGGATGGATGGAGTTTTGTCTGTACGCAGCGCGAAATATTTTCCAATATCCTCGAAACATGATTAGTAGAGGAATGAAGAAAGTCGTTAAGCTAATGAAAATTGTAAAAGAAAACGACGATATGGTATGTTTAAACCAAAGTACAGTACACAGACCTCTGGCAGGATGCCAACCGAACTCACCCCATCCATAAAACGGTGGCGTACTCTGCAGGATCGCCAATATCCAAGTCCCAATCATAAGATTCGTACTCGTTGTAGGTGTCATTCTACTGTGATATGACAATGGGTGTAATATAGCTAGATATCTGTCTATGGCAACAATCACTATGGTATATACCGCAGCGAAAGCGAAGACATGCGTCAGACAGGCGTACAGTTTACACCACAACTCCGAGTAGATCCACCTAGAATGGAGTGATGACACAATGGCAAAAGGCACGACGACTACCGACTGTAACAAATCAGCGACGAGTAAATTGCAGACGAATTTGTTCGCGATGTTCATCAGTTTGGGATTCCGATATAACACAAGCAACACAAATACATTTCCAAAAAACGCCAAGAAAATTTGAACGACCAGCAGCGTTACTCTTAATGCAATCTCTATTCTACCCTGGCACGCGTAGTTGTCGTCGGAACAGTGCATTGAGTTCCATGATTTGACGGCGATAGTAGTGTAGTTCATTATCGTCGTTATGTTTTCTACAAGTATATTTAGTTCCGTCGTTGACTCCATCTCGATTAAATCAATGTTCTTGTCGGCGAGTTTCCCCTGCTGTTCAAAGCGCTACCGTAAACAGCTGTGAGTTTTAAAGGTATCATGTCCCTTATCACGGCAGACCTACTTCAGTTGGCAGATTCCTGCGGAGTCGCGGCAAATGCGTTCAGTTCTTGATATCAACGTGCGTGGTTAGAATCTGAGACCTAGCGTCGTTGGCAGGCAGTACAGTAAATATTGATACGCCAAGCTGTACATCAAAACGTCTGAATTCATAAGCAGTGTAGAATGACGTCAGGGAGAAAGAAACCACTCACCAAAAGATGATGATCTCTCCCGCGAGAACTGATTATCGTAAAGGCGCCGCCGCACCTTTTCGTGACACGCACGGCGGGTAAACCGGGGATAATAATATTTTACATCGAAATACAAAAAACGTCATTAGCAGTCCCTATTTTCTTATCATGGTGTCGCATCTCTGAATCGGATTCTAGCCAGTATCGTTCCAATTGTTCGAGAAATTCCGGAGCAGTCACGTGATAAACAAGTATTAAGTATACGAGGAGGACGATGCAGTGCAAATGTCGTGTGCAATTGTTAAAATATACACTAATTTATGCATGGTACGCAGTAATACTAGCAATGTGGGGGATAATTTCACAGTATATCGTATATAAAGGAACACATTACTCTATAAAATTGGCAGATGTTCACCCAATAGAGACATGCTACGGTCGAGAGCTTAGTAACCATAGAAACCCATCATTATAGATGCAGGAGATATGCGAGGAAACCGGCTCGTAGATTAGGTCGGGTATATCTGTTTGAAACTGAACTGAGAATGAACGTTGCTGGCGCTAAACGTATAGTGTATAACATACATTCTGAAAATGACCGTCGTCTCATAACCTCGGATAAGTTAAATCAGGCTCTTTCGATTTGAATTCATAGCAACAAGCTTCGAGGTTCGGGAAATGCGGGCAAGTTACAATAAAGTAGGAATTAATTAATGGTGTATTTTTAAATATCGCCGTTACGGTATCAGAATGTCAATCTTGTAAGGACTGTTTCTGTAAGAAGATAACACCAGTAAATGTGTCTGAAAAACATATGCACGTATGTATTACTATGTTTATAACATGTGCCTCTCAATTAAATGGACGTATGGTGGTTATTAACCTGCTGAAATTAAACGTATATTCGAACACGAGGAATCCGAATAAATCTCATACTATGTGAAACATACCTTCGTTCGTTCGTTCGTTCGTTGCACTTAGCTTAAGATGAATGATGGGAAAATGACGCACACGAAATATGCTCGAATAAAGTACGACTGACATTGCTCCGTTCAATATGTACAATGCAGTGTTTATTTGTATCATAAGTACAACTATCTTGGGAATAGTCATATATAATCAGTTTCATTGAGGCATATAATGATGCTATGTATTCTTAGCGGCGAAAACCAAACACCCATAAGAACCCATAACGTTTCTAATACAAGTTGAATTTGAGGTGAATCGAGTTTACTTCGATGACGGACAAGTTCACGCGGAGGTCGCCGAGGAGGATAAAATCAAGATAATTCTACGATTTCTGTTTTAAAACAGCATTTGTAGTGCAGTATTCTTAATAAAAACACAAACGAGTACACCCGCTTAGGGAACATACGTTGTGGAGAACGATGTCTAAAAAAATGATTTTCTTTTATATTCTTATTAAATTTCAGTTGTAATCTTTGCTGGATCTTGTAAGAAAGATTGCATTTGCAACATCATCTCGTATTTGCTTTCTTTATTTCACATTGAGCTGAACAATGTTTTAAAATTTAAATATTTTTTCACATAACTTAAATAAATTGCGAGGATTCTTTGTGTATACATTGGTCTTTATTGTTGCCCTAGGCCTGCAACCCCAACATACTGTTTTACAAACAAGAAATGGTAATCAAACCTCACAAGGTTTTTGTATATTAATATCTCATTTTTAAGTAATGATACAAAAATGCTGTCATGGTTTGTAGTACGTGAATGTCAACCATACCATCAATTTCATGAATTTATTAAATAAAAGCAATGTAAAATAATAGCTTGGAATGTATTGTTTGTGGAATGTATGTTTTTTTTATGACTTTCAATATTAATTTTCCAGTCGGTTTCTATCCTGGGACGCTGAAAACGGGCAACGAAAACACGATAAGAGAATCTGTTTGCGGGGACATATACATGGAATAAATATTGCCGGGTTCAAGACGAGTTTTGAAATATCTAGTTTATCCATAGTTGAAATATCACCATACCAATTCAAATAAAAACGATATTTCAATTAATTAAGAAACAAAAACTAAAAAAAATTCGCGACCTCTTGTGCGTCCAAAACCTCTTTGCATATTCCACGATAATAATAGTTGTTTAACATTAGTAAGCCAGTTTGATCTAGGTTTCGACTGAAACATTTCTATATCATATATAGCATTAACATTATAAATTACAGGTGCATTTATATTGATATGCGTATTTGACACAACACTTTTAAGAAACATTACTCCCAGCACTGTGCACAATTTGAAGCATTTTGGGAGATGCCTAAACATATTCTGTTAAGTAGACGATAATTAGTTTCGTATCCATGGTGACGCCAAATTTAAGATTCATATTAAAAATTTGTTATAAGATAGTAGACCTAATTTTATCTGAGTAGCATGGGAAAACTGAACAGTTTAAATAATGACCTAACGAATACTACGTAATCAATTACAGTAACTTCAACATCAGAAAGACACGTTAAATCACCACTTTTTGCCTTAACCCCATGCCCCGTTTTTAACATTAAAAATTAAAAGATGTGCATGGAGTTATAATGGAATGGTCCAAGGTGTTAATTACTTCGTCTTTAGAGAACGCGGTATAGTATATCCAAATATGTTACGTCATTGATAACATAGAGAGGGTTGTCATTATAGATATAGTCAGATTCAGTACCTATACGTGTATTAAAATTACCCGAACATCGGGCTACTCTCCTGGCACATAAGGGTAATTGAATTCTTTTTGATTAACATTGTAATGTTTTTCAGCGTTTTCCATCGCAACTAGAAGCTAATCGCCAACTCTATCCGCGTGGCGTTTAGTCAAATGCGATTTATTTTTAATGAAACTACATTTTTATACACCACAATTTTCGAGTCAAGTGCTACCCGGGGAGTAAATTAATGAGACCAAGTCCTGTCTGTACATGCATACGAAAATGATTTGGGTAAACGCGATTTTCAAGTGAATGGACAAAAAAGATGAGCCAAGTTCAAATTTGGTTTCCAGCTATATCTATATCTTCATAACTCTTCAAGAATCAAAATGTAACTGGTAATTGTTTGACTGAATACGATCATGAGACTTAATCACACTCAATCCATTGGGATCATGGCTAAATGTGCATGAATATAAAACGGAATCTCATTCCATAATTACGTCTCATTTGAAATAATGAAATGTTATATATATAATTACGTTTTAAAATGATCTAAATATCGGCATCACAGCTAAAATTAGAATGTATGTCAATTCAAAATTTTGTGTCAGTTAATATCAGTTAACATAAAAATATTATTTTGCATATATTAATTTACTTATTTAATAATAATAATATTTTTATATTTTGTATATATTAACCTATAAGTTCTAACATTTCCTGAATAGGACAGGTATACAAGTTTATGTTATGACCTAAATATGCAAATTAGGGTCGGAACATAGATGTATTTCTTTGCACTTGGCTTGACCATGGCAATACGAGGATCATACCACACAGCACTATAAGTTACCCAGAATTGTCAATGATTTGTAACATTGGATATCGATTTCTCCAAAAAGCATTTAATGGCATACTATTTTGGACATTATTAAATTCCGTCTGTTGTATCTGTTTTTTGAAGGAATGTTTTCCACTATGTGATTATTAGAATGTCTAATTTACTTTAATTTCAGAGAATCTTAAAATGCTGTACATGTTTAAGGAATACATTCACCTCCCGGCAGCTAATTTGCATATGTCTTTGTTTCATCATTCCGCGTTTGGTTTACTGTACACAAAAAACAATACTACTCTAGCAAAACATCAAACTGTACAGCAATTTAGAGAAAAAAATAAAAAGAATATAAATATCAAGGTATTCAGAATGTATTAAGCATATCCAGAAATTTACCAAACTTTCAACAAACAATACAAGTTAGTACAAACTACCCACAGTTGTGCGTGATGACAGTCACTATATATCTAACTTACAGTAACGTTTTACACTATCTCAAATATACCAGTTCCAGCACAGATCATAGCTTTGAAAAAAGCCGTGGCTGACAAATGGTATTTTTACATTTATTATAACAGATTGAAGTCTGGTATGTGAATACCGACATCCGGCATTTCTGAACTTAGACCTTGTCCAGGTGTCAAGATTTGGAATTGTAGAAGTGAGTGATAGTGTTTTTCAACTAATGAAAACAGTTTCTGAAGTTTACGTCTTAATAGTCAGTACCTATACCCCAGCAATGGGGTAAAGCAGTGTATGTATTCATCAGAATATTAATTGCACCATGCAACCCTGCTGTTTCATATGTAACAGCCATACTTATAGTGAATGTCAAATTACATCATTAAGTTATTACACAAGAAACATCACGATTAACACACAAATAACTAAAGTACTCAAGAAAATGTTTCTCTAGAAATAAACCGTCAATCAACCTGGAGCGATATGAATTTTTAACAAACCGTATGTCAAATTATGATTTTAAAAAATCCTGCAATGTGTAAGTATACTGACAACGCCACTTCAGAAAAGTTCAACTTGTTCTTCACTAATAATGGCATTGATGCCTGATTTTGGATATTATATAGAATGTGAAACATTTTCAACCACGTTGTTTTTAATATGGTATGCACTAAACAAACGGACATGTATGAAAGAGTATGTTTTGACCATGATCATTTATGCGTTACGTTATATAACATTTACAACCTTGCAATCTATGCCCATAAAATCTGCCAATAGGTCACCTATATGCGCGAATCATGGCTTGTGTGCTAGATATGGCATATTTTGAATGTGAGGGGAAACGAGTCCAGATTTTAAAGT